GAAACACGTCCCAAAGTCATCCCTTCCACACATATTCAGTACCGAACAGTAAAACGTTTCTCTGTATGGGAGGAAAATCTTGCGCTTAAAATAAAAAAGAACCAGTCTGATGTGAACTAGACCAGCATGGAAGAATTTAGGTCAATTTTAATGTAAAAAAAACCTTTTGTCTCCATGGCTCGCTGTAAATCTCCACCTGTCAGAGATTATTTTAATTTTTAGTCACAATAAGAGAAGAAATCGAGTGCATGTGTGACAAACAGTGAAGGTTTTTATTTAAATTTGGCACCAGAAGAAATAAATGATAAACAAGAATTAATTTTTTATCTGTTGACTTTTCCACTTCCTTTAAAAAAAAATAACCGAAGGAGTTGAAATGAAAATGTTGGGATCAGTTATTTTATTAAAACACTGTAAAAATGGTATTTTTCCCCTAAATCCTCTTTTTATTTCATCTTATTTATAGTTTAATAAATGTAATTGCCCATTTTGCGCATTTCTGTACCGTTTAAAATGATTTCTTTCAGACATTTTATTTTGTGTTTAATTAGAAAATAAAATATTTAGACAGAGATGTAATTAGTCTTGAAATATGAAGCTGGTTAATAGTTTCTGTTTTCTTGGCAGAAACAAGTTTTATAACAAAGTTTGTTTGTTTGCCTTGAAAATTCAAAATCCATTTTAGGATGCGAACATTTTAGCAGTTCAGGAAATTTTAGCATTTTAAAATTGTATATAAAATGTTTATATTTTTATACGAAGAGGGTTTTTTTTTCTAGCTTGGAAGCAACTACTTCAGATTAATGTCCTGATGCTTCAATAATCCAGGTAGATGAATCTAACAAGGTTGAGTCAGGTCCTCTGGACGGATTCTTCTGTGGTGAAACGTTTCGTCTTCAGTCGGAGGAGCTGCAACAAACTCTGTCATAAGGGGAGTGGTGGCGCAGAGGTTACAGGTGGGCCTGTGATCGGAAGATCGCCGGTTCACGCCCCGGTACCGACAACATCAAAAATGTGGATGGGGTAGGTGAAGCACCCACAATTGCCCCCACCCTCATTCACCCCACTCTGGGCCCATGAGCAATGTACTTAACCCCCATCTGCTCCCTAAACAGGTCTCTCTTGAAAATGTGTTCTCGTGGCTCAATGAGACTACCTGTATAAATAAAGAGTAAATGAAAACTCTATCACAGAGCAGACAACATCTCAACTAACTCAGGAGCCAGGTAGAAGGAGAAATCTCACACAAGACAGAACCTAGAGAAATGTGGATATCCTAACTGGACCTTCCTGAACACAGAGAAGAAACCCAAACAGGTGAAAAGGAGGAACCCAGACCCAGACCAGTGGTCATTCCATAGGTTGTGGGAGTTTCAGAGAAACTGAGACATTTATTTTCTAAACACAACGTCCCAGTGGCTTTTAAACCCCAAAATACATTACGGCAAAGACTGGTCCGTCCCGAAGATTCAGCCCCCAAACAAACAGAATAATATTGTGTATGCTGTTCAGTGTCAGGAGGGTGATCAGTCTTACATCGGGGAAACTAAACATCCACTGGTCAAAAGGATGGACCAGCACAGAAGATTAACACCATCAGGCCAGGACTCTGATTTACACTCATCTGCAGGCCAGCGGTCACTCTTTCAGGGATGAAGATGTTCATGTGCACATCTGGAACAATGGTTTGAGAGAGGAGTGAAAGAGAAGAGAACCCGTCCATCATTAAACAGGGGTGGAGGCCTCTGTGTTCAACTGTCCCCCTCTTACAATGCTGTTCTTGCTAGTATCAATCAGCCCTCTGTGAATAGCAAGCGGCCATCAGGGCATTAACGACCTAAGCTGACGGTCCTCCTTTTACATGTGAACAGCTAGTTCTGGATGTCACCAGCAAACTTGTTGATCCAATATGAGAAGGTGCTGCTTATAAGTCTGAGTTTGTTGCAGCTCCTCAGACTGAAGAAAACTTTTGGATAAAAGACTAAACGTGTTAACAAAAAAACAATCCTTCCAGATGACCTGACTCAACCTGGTTAGATCCTTCAGATTAGTTTATTTTCTGAAGTGTTTTAATCCAGACAGGATCTCAATGTTAAAAAAAAAAAACATGCTAGGTCCAATGGTGCCGATGATGCTGACATTAAAAACTTGTCAGAGCACACGAGAAGCACGCCGTGGGCGGGCTTTAACCTGTATCTCATGGGGAGAGGTGTTGCCAGAATGGGCGGTTTACCACCAGTTGGGCGGTTTTCATTCTGATTTTACGGGTAAAAATTGCTTTGGGTGGGTGGGGATCATTTGGGCGGATTTGGAGTCATATCGGTAGTTTTTGAGTTAACATATTAAACACATTTCAAACAACCATTCAACATTATTTCATAGCAAAGCTTTCCTGAACGTTCTCCATCTGCCAGGGTGTTCACAACAGAGAACTGATGAGGCAGTTTCAGTAGACACCTCGAACACTGTACTTTGGAGCGGCCGCCATATTGGATGTGGCAGAACTGCCGGTCAACTGATAGAAGGAAATGGACTGAACTTCATAAAGCACCGTTCTACAATCCCTGTCATTCACACACACTCATACATTTGGAAAACAAACAGGCACCAAAGACAACATTTATAACATTTAAAGTGATTATTAAAAATATTTACTCCTTAAATATTTAGGTTAAAGGTAAGCACTAAACCAACATACGTATTATTTTGAGTGTTTACAAATATGTGTAACATTCTGCCTGTGGTGATAAATATAGAAATATTCATACTGAACATTTAATCTGTGTCTGTAATAACCAGATCCTGAAATGTGATGTGTTGATTTTCTGAATAAAGAGCACTAACGTTCACATTTGACTGATTTTGATTAATCACATCAATGAACATGTAAACACCAATATATCTTTGCAGGGGGTGGGGGGTATTGTTTGTGTGTATGTGTGTATATATATTTCAAACAGTAAATATTACAATATATTGATTGGGCAGGGTTTTTTATTTTCAATGTGGTGGTTTTTAATAGACTTTTGGGCTGGAAAACCTCGACTCTGTCTGGCAACACTGATGGGGAGCAAATTGCAAACCACATTTGTGGGAACATTTTCTCAAAATGCTGCAGAGGATCCTCAGTTCCCTTGTGTGAGTCGCAGGAATTTTGAACATGTTCTTGTTACAGACGTCTCAAATCCTTCTCATTTTAGTTTCTGTAATTCTAGAGAGCTAAAACTCTATTTTTAGTCAACTGTATACTGTACTGTGCTTTTTACATCTCTGCAAACCTCCAGTAGAACTAAAGCCTCAGTATGTTGGGAGAGTGCAGATTTTTATAAATTTTTGATTCAGTGTAAATTCAGAAGAAAATTTGAGCATTTTCTTGCAATTTGATGCCTTTTTGTGCCCAACAGCTGCAGCCTAGGTACAAACCTCAGCGATTCCTCCCCACTGACATATCAACAGCTAGACATGGGAACATAATGCAGAAGTTGAAGCCAGAATAGGACAAGTGTCCCCTACAGATTGGCTGCAGTTTAAGTTTTAACTTCATGAAAACAAAAGGAACATTTGCCTGAATTAGAGACGGTGACTTCTGTCGATTCATGTAGTTTTTTTTACCTTACTGAAGTTTGGATAATATTTTCCACATTTGTTTATTTGTATGCAGTTTTTTATGCTTAAACACCTTAATTGTGTGCAGACAGGACTTTTCAGGATTTTAATGGCTTCACTTTGTTCAGTGGAAATAGCTGAAGTTGCCTTGTCCATCTTAAATCTGCTCATTTATATCAACCCCTCAGTGATAAAATTACAGTCAAAACCATTCTAAGCTTGTTTTTATCTTATATAGTTTACTTTTTCCTCACAATATTTAATCAAAAATCGGCCTAGCTCACAGTCACACTGTAAGTGACAAGTGAGTCAGCACAAAACCAACCAGATGGAGAGATAAAAACAATAAAACTTGCACAAACGAGGTCGTTTGTTTCCCTGAAACAGGTTTTTGTGCCAACTTGGAGAAGGTTTGTAGAAATCTGTTGTTCCAACAAAAACAGAGTTTGTGTGTGAAAAAGGTGCAAATATAAAGAAAACTTGTTTTGGAAATGTTAAAAATTAATTTCCACGATAGTTTGTCCGAGCTGATCTTCATAAATAAAATGTGGTTCTGATGTTTACCCCCCTGTGATTACCTGATGGTGGAGTTGATGTCAGACGCTGCAGACGACACGGTGCTCATCCCAGCCTCGCTCCTGAACGAGCTCTGCTTGGACCTCTGCGAGGCCAGGGAACTCCTGGACTCAGACTTTCTCAGCTTGAGACCGGACAGGATGGACCTCCGAAACAGGCCTCCTTTCCTCTTCCCCTTCAGCAGCTCGGCCTCGCTGTGTGCTGTCAGCACGAACCCTCCCCGGCACACCGCTGGGCTGCTGCCGCTGCTGCCCGTGCTGCACATGGACACGCTGGTGGTCAGAGTTCCCGGAACCGTAGCAGGACCAGGAACCAGCACCCCTGTACGGTCCAGCAGAGCCGTACCGTTACTGTGCTCCGAACCAGAGCGGAGGGAGTTTATGGAGGTGCGTAGAGGGGAGCGGATGACGGCCGCCATGCCATACGGGACGCTCTGACGGACGCCGTAGCCATGACGCATGCCGCCGACCCACTGACCCTGAAAGGTTCCTGGAACCAGAAACAGACCAGAACAGATAGGTTACTGTACAGAACCACTGAAACAGGAACATTAATTTTATTTTGTTTAGATTCTCAGGTTTGGAAGCTGTTTACCTCTTTACTTCTTCTCCACATTAGAATCAAATTACAGGTTCCTGCAGGAACATTTAACTCTGGATTTATTTTAACAATAGCTGACAAAAGTTTATTAAAAAACAGACAATCATGCGTTCATTCTGAAATGAATTTAGATGTAAACATCTAAAGTATTAAAACTATGAAGATGTAAAATTCACTTCTTTACTGATGCTCAACAAGGACTGAAGAAAATACAGAACAACCAAAGATCAACACAATAAAAAAATGGTGTTTTATCACCTGCGGCCAGAGTCATAGGCAGCCAGGGATGTTGCTGCTTGTCTGTGTGTTCATGTCGCTGTCTGTTAGCAAAATATCTCAAGAAAGACTACGTTTTAAAACTCCCAGAAAGTTACAGTGTATCCCTGGATGTACAAATACAGCTGAAGTTAACTCGGCTCAAAATGGCCACCACAGCTAACTGACTTTAAAAAACACAAAAACAGCTTCAGCTCAGTCAGTTTTACAGACAATGACTTCAGTGCACGTGATAGTAGCTGAGAGTGATCCCCAACACATGTTCTGAGCACAAACAGATTGTCCAAGCTCAGGATTTGTTGCATGAAGCAAAACAGAAAAAGTCAAATGTTTGCACCAAAACATTTACCAAAAAACATAAATCAAGTTTAACAAGTGGTATGTTGATGTCCCACCATGACCAAGGGGTTTAATAGTGAATGTTTGTAGTTTATGAGATGAGTGTTTTTCTGGAGTGGAACTGTCCAGGGTGTCCCCCGCCTCTCGCACAGTGATGGCTGGATATGGGCACCAGTGACCCCAACAACCGGAAAGGAAGAAGCAGGTAAAGATGATGGATGGATGGATGGATGGATGGATGGATGGATGGATGGATGGATGGATGGAATTGAACAAGAAATGGAAGTAAACCTAAATGTTTTTGGTGCAAGATATTCAAATGGGTAGAAGTTACACTGCGGAGAAGAGCGGAGGTGATTTTATTTTATTTTATTTTTTCTTGTTCAAGGCGGCACAGAGTGATTCCCCTCCTGGCAAGTGGAGGGAGCAATGAGGAGCCAGGGGGTGGCCAATGGTGGCCTTGGCCCCCATAGATCAATTTCCGGCCACATCAATCATTTGAGGAAACTATACTTAGAAGCAATGTAAAAACTAGAAGGCACAGTTTCCTCAAATGATGGGGGTGTTAGCACATACACAATATATATACAGTTTTTACTTTGTGTATATATATATATATATATATATATATATATATATATATATATATA